ATTACTATGCACTTAATGAATACATATTATTAAAATCTGGGCTATAATGGTTGTATTGATGTATAGCAACTTGAAATGCTCCCAAAAATGGCTCCACAGCAGGTAAAAATATAATATAAGCTCTGGCGGACTTGGTTCTATGGTAGGTCTTAAAGGGTTAACAGGTCTGCAGTTTGTTGCAATCCGCTTGTCAATTTTGTTAGTCAGTATGTCCGATGTGGAATTACTGAGCCCTCGATGCTCCGTGAGTGGTTTGTCGCATGCTGGGTGATGCGTTAGCCAAAGTCTTAGCAGCACCCCCGACTAACGTATGCTTTGCATCAATGTGATATTTTAAGCTGGAAGTGCTTCGGTGAAAAGAAAATTCCTTCTTGCACAATGTGCATAATACTTTATGTCAGTCGACTGTTCCGTCTTGTTATTTTTTTAATTCTCAAATCTCCCATCGAAACGTTTATCATCTTCCATATTGAGTTGATTGATTCAGCTGCCCATCAGATCAACTGCCCATTTGCTCATGTGCGATGGTAACTCCACACTGCAGATGCGTTAATTGTGTTAAAAATTTTAATCGTGTTGACTGTGCTGGTGGATTAATTTGCATTAACACGTTAATTTTGACAGCATGAATATATATATGTAAAAAAAACAAAACAAAATAAGACAAAGCCTGAAAACTGAAATGCTGTTCTCCCAAATGCCATTATTTATGTACTCATTTATTTCTTGAAAACCCCCACAAAATATAAATGATAAATGAAGTTTACCTTTCTCTAGCATGGCATACTTCACTTGGGTGTTCTCCTCTTGCAAGACTGAAATGTTTAAAAAAAAAAGGGGGGGGGGGGTATGAGGATTTAATGTGAGATTTTTAAGATGCATGTCATGGATGCAGTATGTATCATGGTTAAAATCTGATGTTTATATAAGATAACCTTATCAGGAGTTTGAGTCAGGCAATAATACAGTCCCAATCAAAAGTTTAAGACTACTTGAAGAATGGCAAAAAAATCACATTTTGCATGGTTGGATCTTAAAAAGGTTCCAAGTAGAGCTTCAACAAACAACAAGAAGAAATGGGAATGAAACAAAACATTTATTGAAAGCAACGCTTAAACTCAAACAGGCTGTTTTACAACTGATCAAAAGTTTAGAACCTCCAAAAAACCTGTAAACCTCACCAAAACAGAAATCAAATTTCCAAACATGAACTCATAATGACTAGCTCCAACGTTATTGTTGATCACTGCAAAAATTTGTTGCAGCATGCTCGCTACAAGTGTTACCATGAGGCGAGTGGGAACATTTCTCCAAGTGTTGAAGACAACCGCAAAGTGTCTGGGTCTGTTGGCTCTTGCTGTCATTCCCAGAGGTTCTCAATTGGATTTAGATAAGGGGAACACTCTTGTAAAAGAGTGATGGTATTCTCCTGGGAGAAGTCTCTTGTCCTATGGGAATTGTGTACTGTAGCGTTGTCCTGTTGAAAAGTCCAGTCGTTACCACACAGATGAGGGCCCTCAGTCATGAGGGATGCTCTCTGCACCATCTGAACATAGCCAGTGGCCGTTTGACCTCCTGAAGCTCCATTGTTCCACTGAAGGAAAAAGCACCCCAGACCATTATGGAAATGAAAACCATCAGGACCATCAAGGTTCTCATAATAGAATAAAACTTTCTTCCACCTTTCAATGTCCCGTGTTTGGTGCTCTCTTGTAAAGTCCAAACAATCAATTCTGTGGCATTCAAGGAGAAAAATTAATTTGAAGAAGTCTTTTATTTTTGAAGGCCTTCAGTCTCAGAGGCCATCTGATGGTTATGGGGTTCCACCATGGGTCGCCACCAGTAATGGCCTTCACTTGAGTCGAGGATTGTTCAGTGTCTTGACAGACAGCCAAATGGATCCTCTGGCTCAGTACTAGTGAATTTTTTTGTGATCTAGTGGTTGACTTTTTTTGTTCCATTACCCCCAGGATCATTTAAGAAATTCCAAATGACTGTCTTACTGCTTCCCACCTCAGCAGCAATGGTGCACTGCGAGAGACCCTGCTTATCCAGTTTATAAACCCAACCACGTTAAAAAAGGAAACATTTCTTTGCCTTTCCCATCAAAACATCATGACAGTGTGACTACCTGACAGATAATGACAATGAATCTACATTTTTGCACAGATTTATCTGTGATCTGTGATGTGATCCTAAACTTTTGATCAGCTGTAAAACAGCCTGCTTCAGTTTAAGCATGGTTTTTTAATAAATTACATGCTCAAAAAATGTTTTATTTCATTCCCATTTCATTTTGTTACATGTTGAAGCTCTACTTGGAACCTTGTTAAGATCCAAACATGAAAAATATGATTTTTTTGCCATTTTTCAAGTGGTCTTAAATATTTGATTTGAATTGTATTTGCAAGTTAGGTACACCATTAAATATCAGCATTACTTGTTTGTTTTTAAAGGTTTAATTACGATAGAGCTTTGATGAGCTTCTTGATAATCCTGACCAAGTTAATCTGGTTAATGTGGTTAATCTGCTTCCAGTGCTTCCAGTCATTTAACTATTGTACAATTAACACATATTTGTCATTATTAAATTGCTAAATTGTTATGATACAGATGATCTGTATCATAAATTGTTATGATACAGATCTAGATATAGTTTAAATAATATTGTTTATTTCTCAAAATTGTATGCATTGGTTTCATTTTTTCTGTTATTATGTATTTTTTTCTGTGATGGAATGACTGGTATCAAATGTGAAAAATCCCATCAGCAGGAGTTAAGCATCTGTAAGTTATAAGGGCTCAAAATGCTCAAAAGTGCCAAATTTTGACCCATCACTATGTACTTGGAGGACCTGTGAGAGAAAATGTTTAAAGCATGAAGATAAAAGTTTTTATGGCTTCAATATATGCAGTGTATCTGGAAAGTATTCACAACACTTCACTTGTGCCATATTTTGTAATGTTACAGCCTGAGATAAAAAATCTGGGAATTTGGGAGTCATGTGGGAACTTTGTTTAGATTTGCCTGATGTTACAGAGAATGACCCTGTAGGTAATTCAGCATTCTGTATGCTTGCAATCTCAGATTGAATATCCAGACTTTATTTAATTTGTATTTTGCTATCCTTATATGTTAAAACTATCTCAAAAGCGCCTCTGCTGGCTGCCTCTATCTCTCTACCTACATGTTTGAGTGCACAAGAGGTCAGTCCAAAAGGGAATTGTGGAATTGTAGGTTTGCACAGATGTTATCACAAAAGAAAAAGTGTTTATATCTTAACAAAATTATAACTGTTAATAATAAATTAACATTAAACTCTAAAATTGTCATATGGGTGTGGGATTAAATCAAAAGGGAAAAGTGCCTTGGGCATTTCTAAGGTTTTTAGTCACATTCCACTAAACAAGGAAACAGTTTCTTACCTTTGTCGTCTTCATGTGTGCAAGAATTTCGTTCTAATGAAAAACAGGTTGATACTGAAGGACACATGAAAAAAATTACATCAGTAGGAAAGAGAGCAGAGGAGAGGTAGCAAAAATTAGGTAAAGCTAATGTAATGATATATATTAATCAACACCTCAGCAGCTAATACATTAAAAAAAGGGTTTTTTTAAGTGCAATTTGCATATGTGGCTAATAGCATGACAGTAATATCTGACATATCAGCAGATATCAAGGAATAAACAGTCTATAGCTAGGTGAGCTGGTTTCTGTACCTTTGTGTTTGTTTTGATAAAGCAGCCCCAACACCACCAATGACAGATCCACCAATAAAACACAGATAACAGTCCACAGCAGATTGAGTGTCTCAGGGAAGAGACTTTGTGAAAGACCAGTCTCTTCGTAGGCTGGTGAAAAGAAGATATTAAACATGAGTATATTAAGGCATATACAAAACACGCACACAGGCATATTCTTAATAATTAAAATAAAATAACCTTCACGTTGTTTTATTACAGCTAGCCAGCTCTCTGGTGATTCTCCAACTCCAGATATGCTGCACTTGTAGAGTCCTTCATCAGACTTGGAGACATTTTTGATGGTCATGCTGTTTTGATACCAGGTCCCGAGAGAGACACCATCTTTGTAGAAGTCAGTTATGTGTTCTGACTGAGTTTTCTTGTTTTTACAGTTAAAGATCACCTCATTTCCCTCTTTCACATGGTAGGTTGGACTTTCCAAGATTACAACACCAGCTGGGAAGTGTAGAAAATATATTTTATGAATTATTTCATTACACTACTTAATAAACATCTGACTATGGTAATAAAACAAAATCATGACTTCTTTGTGATTAGTGGTGAAACACCTGAAATTACCCAACCTTGTATTGTATACTGTGCTTGTTAAGTATGACACCTAATAAGCATCACATCTAGCCTAAACTTTACTTAATAGAGGCTCATATATATATATATATATATATATATGGTATTTAGTCAACATACCGGTAATAGTGATGTTCACAGCCTCACTTTTTATTCCATGTTCATTTTCACACCAGTATTCTCCACTGTGACTTTCAAAGGTGGGATAAATTGTGTAGGGCGATGGTGATGTGCTCGATGTGTAGGAAGAGTTCCACTTCACGCTCCATTCAGTGGCATTGTTATCTTCCTCACAATGTACAGAGACAGACTTATATTCAAAAAACTGAAGTCTGTTTGGAACAATGTGAGGAAAAACTGCATCTGTGACAAGTATTTCAAGAAAGAAGGCAATCAAAAAACTGACTTGCTTCTAAAACAAGATAAGAAAGTCTTTCAAACTGCGTAACTATTACAAAAGAGAAAAAAAGTGCTAAATTTGCTAGATTGTGAGTCAGTGAAGGTTCATATTAGAAAGGATCTGCTTCTGTTCAAATAAACACAAACCATTAAAAACTACAGTTTCAGAGCTTTTTGAACTTGATTTTCTCTAGCTAAAATGTGAATAAATATGGCATATCATTATTCAAAATTATTCTCAATATTACAGGATTGTTAGTAATCTAAACATTTTTATTTTTATCACTCACCAGCAAAGTTGCTGCGGTCAGCTTGTAAAGCCACGAGGACTAAAATATCAGTCACTGAAGAGACAAATTGAATTCTGTGCATCAGAGATATATGACAGCTAAAAATTTTAATGTGCCATGGATTGGTGGAATCAATACTTACAAAGTTGGATGCTGAGAGTTGTAACCTCCATAATGTGTTGCTGCTGACTGCGAGAGCATCAGAATGAAATACATCAGACGAAATGTAGGTTGGGACTTCCTCTTCCTGTTTAATTTATTTCTGATGTTGATGATGCAAATTGTACCATGAATTATCTCTAAGACACATAACTGCTATAACAATAATAATGTAATAGGTATGATCCTATCTCTAGCTATTTGTAGTGGGGACTGTTTTGGGGAAAGAAAAAGTATTTATTTATTCATCAAATTACAACTCGAGTACTTGAAAACAAAGATACTTGGACCAACAGTTTTTATAGGGGATTTTACTTGATATTAAAATTAAACCTGAGATAAAGCCTGTCCAGGACTTATCGTCAGTCATCCACAGTATAACATTCACTAACAATTGTTTTCCTTGCCCCCCTTTTTTTGTATCTGAATATTTAAAAGCAGTTCCACTCTGCCCCCTGCTGTCACTCAAAATCCTCAGTAAATATACATACAATTATTGCTCATTTTTACTGACCAAATAAAATTCCAACCTAAGAAAGTAAAAAGGGGCGTAATGATAGTCTGATAAGGCTGACATTTGATTTTCTACTGACAAGCCATCGAGCACCAAGGTCAAGTTAAATGTTAACCCGAGCATCACAAAAGTAGAAGTAAAAGTAAAAGGGATTTTACTGGGACACTTCCTTGGTCTTAAAGTTAACTGAGCCCTATCAGTATGATGTCACCTGACTTGCTCATATAACCTTATACAGGTAAGCCATTAGTAAATCTATATCTATTTTAATCATAGTCTAAATAAAAAAGATTCATGTTCCCAGTTTGTGAAGTAAAATTAGCGCTGCTATCACAAATCAGTGATAAGTGGTCAGAACAATTTGCATATTAATGATCAAGAAACTGACCTCACAGCCAATTTTTCATTCAGTGGGCTGGTTTAAGTCATTGTGCAATGGCATTGTTTATAAGGACAGTCAGCTGTCATTTGGATGAGTGATGAAACATTTCTCCACTGAAAATCCTACATCCAGATGAACAAAATCAACATTTGGCGATTTCCTTACCTGTAGCATGCAACTGAGCATGCATCAAGAAATTAAAAACTTCTTTTATATTTCATCTTTGAAAGCTGTTCACTTTGCATTGTTTGCTGCCATTCTTTTCAGCACAGCTTCCCATGTAATAATTTACATTTAAAAGGGAAAAACTCCCTTTAAACAGTAAGAAACCTCCAGCAGAACCAGATTCAAGGAGGGGTGGCCTTCTACTGCAACTGGTTGGGGTGAGGGGAGGAAGACAGGACAAAGACAATCTAGAAGAGAGAGCAAGAAGATAAATTCAGAGTGGTGTATAAAGAATGAAAAAAGGCAAATGAGGAAGAAACACTCAGTGCATATAGGAATCAAATTGCAGTTCGGCCAACGGAGGGTTCAGTGGGTATATATGTATATGCTTTAGCAAAAAGGAAAGTTTTAAGCCTAATCTTAAAAATAGAGATAGTGTCTGTCTCCCATATTCAAACATGGAGCTGGTTCCACGGAAGAGGGGCATAAAAGCTGAAGTTTCTGCCTCCCTTTCTAGTTTAAAATATTCTAGCAACACAAGTAAACCTACAGTCTGAGAGCAAAGTGCTTTAACCCTTTAAAATTTACCATAGAACCAAGTCCGCCAGAGCTTATATTATATTTTTACATGATGTAGTGCCATTTTTGGGAGCATTTCAAGTTGATATACATCAATACAACCATTATAGCCCAAATTTTAATAATATGTCTGCATTAATTAATGTTCTATAAGTTCACTGGTGACCTCAGCTGTCAAGTTCCTGGATGTCGGTATGCTGCACAAAGCTTTACAACTCTTTGTGCCCAGATTTCACATCAAATACGGGAAAAAAGTATTATGTCCATTTGAAGGTTGCTCTAAATACTTCAGTGTCTGAACATCATTTTCCAGCCATATTTCTCATAAGCAGACAGTTCAGCAGTGAAGGCAACAAGAAATTGGTGAAATTGCCATAATACAAGGACAGGACAGCTAATCTATTAGATGGCAGGGATTCACAGCACAATACTACTGATGAAGATTTATTTCTATATCGATTGGCTTTGTCCATCAATCCATCTTCATCCTCTTTATCCGGGGCTGGGTCGTGGGGGCAGCAGCCTAAGCAAAGAAGCCCAGACCTCCCTCTCCCCAGCCACCTCCTCCAGCTTATCCGGGGGGACACTGTGGTCACAAATTTTGAAGCCACCCTGATAACCTTCTCCTACCAACGATGTGGAGATCCAACCCTTTTAGATCCAATTAAAATCAAGACACTCAAAAAGATGTTCTGGAAAAGACTAGAATTCTTGGAACAGAGTTTAATACACTGAATCATATGAACAGCAGGAAAAATACATACAGACATTTAGCAAGAGAATTACATAGCAGAAAGCAAGCAAAGCAAAACCCCGGGGTGTACAGCCTTAAGCACAGACAGCAGAGCAACACAGAGACGGACAGGAAGCAGCAGCAGGAGGAAAAGAGCTGGGGGTGTCCTCTGGTCCCCTAATATATAGGAACCAGTATCCCCGCCCCCTGCTGCTGGGTAACTTTCCCACCCATCCAAACACAGCTGCAGGGGTCAGGTAGCGGCCAAGGTCTTGGCCAAAGGCCAGTCAGGACTCCGGCTACCCCTTGCTCTGGCTTATCACAATAGGTCATGGCATGGTCAAACATCACACATTAATCCTAATTATTAAATCTTATACAGCAAGTGGCACAATCTTATAACATATAATCTTATAACTACATAGGTTACATGCTTTCTCATATATAAAAACACTTCAATGTGGGTTCAAAGTATGTGTGTGTGTGTGTGTGTGTGTGTGTGTGTGATTATATCGTATGATATTCTATTGTGATGTGTTCAGGATCTGTGTGTATTAGGGAAGGATAGTTACCGGAGCTGGAGAGTGAGTTATTCAGGCGAACTCTCAACAGCATTAACTTCCCCTTTTACTGTACCACCTTAAAAAAACCATGGTGAAGCAAAATGTCTTGTGCTTAAGACTCTACATGAAAGTTAAAATATATATGTTCAGTGCACATACAGTGGGGCAAAAAAGTATTTAGTCAGCCACCGATTGTGCAAGTTCCCCCACCTAAAATGATGACAGAGGTCAGTAATTTGCACCAG